CGCTCCTAGAGGAGACCCTTGACTGGCGCCCGCATACTATCGAGGGTATGGAGATGAAGGGTCCTCTCCGGGAGCCCTGCGCCCTGACCCTAGTCCAGAGGAACGGGCAATATGAGTAAGTAACCACCTGATACCCACAGAGGAGGGGAGCCTGCCATTACCTCCCAACCCCAAACCGCGACCAGCCACCCATCCTCCTCCCACTGAGGCCTCGCAGGCAACAGGTTCGGGCTCAGGTGTGAAGTGCCAGTGCTCTAACCAGCGGGCTTTGTCCCCAACTTCCAAACTGGTAGATTGATTGCTTCTGGCCGTGTGGCTCAGTGGAAGGACTCAATGGGCGGGGAAGCAGGAAGCCTGGGTTTTTGGTTCCTGCCCCTGCAACTGACATGTGTTGTGTAATCTTGCAATAAAGCTCTCTGGGCCTTAGTGTCCTCATCAGTTAAATAAAAACAGTAACTGCCTTACCTTATAGCCTTTGGAGTTTTAACTGGGAGACTAATAAATGTGAAAGTGGTTTACATAAAGTAAAAGTACCATAGAAACGCTTCATTGTTAACCTTACAGAAGTGCCTTTTCTTAACCTCATTCAACTGGTTCCTCCAGTCTCCCCACCCCCTTATTCCATTTGCTTGAAGGCATATTCATTAATTCAGTAATGATTTTGTGTAGGCCAGTAACTGCCTCCCTTATTGGCTTGACTGTTAGAAAAAGTAATGAAATGCGTAGAAATGTAGACGACGCTTGGGTTACCTTCCATTCTGCCTTGCACATAGGAGCTCAGTAAAGCCTGTTGACTGATCAAAAGATTTTGAGAAGCCATCACTTCAGCTGCTGATCTTACTCCCTTGCCACTAATCCCTCATCTTAAAAGAATCCCTGGTGACCATCACATATCACAAGTCCCTGTCCCTGTGTGCCCTTGCCACCTCCCTTAGTTCACTGGTTTCTTGACATCAGACTTTAAAAATTGTTGATCACTTAAAACCTGCCATCTCCCAACATTGGATTCTGCCTAAAAGTAGAGTTTTTCTCAGTTCTGGTTTTAGATTGTCCAGACTCAGTCTGTATCTATGCTGTCCAATTTACATAGAAGAAATTCCCACTGGCCTAGCCTGCCCTTTTCTGAGACTCTTGGTGCCACTCTAACTGGACGTCAGCTGGTTCTATGAAGTAGCTCTTCCCTAGGTGCTGCTTGGTCAGTTCTGTTGATGTGATAAATTCATTTTATTTTTCCCAGATTTCAGCAAACCCCGAAAGACGAGTTTAATAAAAAGTAAATTCAACAGAAAAGTGAATTGAAAAGTGAAACACAACTGCCACTTTCAAAGGCAAGAATAGGGTGGGAAGATTTGAGCCTTGGACAAATCGGTTTCCTCTTCTTAAAAACAAAATTAGGAAGATTAAATAAAATAGCTACATTGTTGAGATGACCACAGCCCAGGATCTGGTCCCTTGTTTCAGTAGATTTGGAACTCTCTTCAGCTGATAAGGGAGTGAGCAGCTGGCCTTGAGATAAGTGCCTCATTCTATCTGATCTCTTGTTCTAGAAGAATTTTGAAACTTGCAGTGGTAGCTCTCCTGACTATTTGTGTCTTCCCTGTAGAGAAATCAAATTCTGTGTTCCAGTTGTATATAAGCTATGAGCATCGCACAGCTAACACTCAGTGGCATGGTATGCGCCGGGTACTCATCTGAGCACTTTCATGAATTAGTTCATTTAACCTTCATGTGAAGGTTACTGCGAATTCATAGTATTATCATCATCATTCCCCTTTTCCAGATAGAGAAATTGAGGCGCAGAGAGGTTAAGTCACTTGTTCACAGTTGGGAAGTAGCATAGCTGAAATTTGAATCCCTGTAATATATCTCAGAATTACACTGAGAAGCCTCTTTTGAAATTATATATTGGAGACATCTAATACAGTCATCTCATCCATCGTCCTTAAGTTCTTGTCCTGTGGGTGTCTTCTCTGACTTGGGTGTCCAGAACTTTTTTACTTTGGGCCTTTTTGATCCTAGAACTTGGAGCCAATTGTAATCTTTAGTCCTGTAGTTCCTGCTATCAACAGTAGGAGAAATTTACTTTAGAGACTAACTTTTTTGGCACGCAAGGAATCAAACACTGACACTCATATTTTCAAGGCAAATGGATTATGAGGCAACCTATTGTTTCATCTTTAACCTTCCTTGAACAAATCAAAGTATTTCCTAGGGATGGTGCTGAGTCTGCATTAACAATTTGTTACTCTTTTCTGTTTCCAACTACCAAATTCTGATTTCTGTTGTTTTGCCATGTACCTATTATTTTTCATCTTTCTGTGTTGTTAGGAATGATTACACCTAAGTAGAATTTTTATGTTTATTTCTAGCTCTACTCTCTTGCTATAATTTATTTAGTGACTAACACATAGTAGATGTTAAATATTTGTGGAATTGACTTAAATTCCCAGTTTATCTTTGTTTGGTGATGGATTTTTGGGGGAAGTTTGCACTTCTTTTTTTAAATTGAGATATAACAGTATATTAGTTTCAGGTGAACAACATAATGATTTGATATTTGTATATATTGTAAAATGATCGCCACAGTTCGTCTTGTTAACATTCATCACCACACATAGTTAACAGTTTTTTTCTTGTGATGAGAACTTTTAAGATTTGCTCTCTTAGCAACTTTCAGGTACACAATACACTATTATTAACTATAGTCATCATGCTCTACTTTACATCCCCATGACATGTGTTTCATAGCTGGATGTTTATACCTTTTGACCCCCTTAACCATTTGACCCACTTCTCACCCCCTGCCTCTGACAACTACCAATCTGTTCTCTGTGAATTCAGTTTTTTTGGTTTTTGTTTTTAGATTTCACCCATAAGTGAGATCATTTGTCTTTGTCTGACTTATTTCACTTAACGTAATACCGTCAAGGTCTGTCTGTTGTCTGTTTTGTGATGGTTTTTAACAATCACAGTGAAGTCCAGTTGAAGCTTTCCTGCTAATGTTTAACACCATTTCTAGTCTATGTTACTTGGAGATTATATTGGTTTGTGTTCATTTGCCTGAAAATAAGCTCTTCCTCCTTGACCCTTGCTTTGTCAGCCTTGTCTAGTTTCTGGTCTCCATCTGGGTTTATAGGACTCTGCTCGACTCATGAACTTTGCAGGCTGAAAAGGGCCTGCCCTTTATTCCTCTAGTCACCTTACAGTATAAACCCCTGCACAGTAGACAAGCCGGATCAGAGCAGAAAGACAGCATTAATACGTTTATTTCCCTTAATTTTGTCTAAGCAGTTCCTTTCCCCATGTTATCTCCTTGAAAGGAAATTCAAAAAGCTAAAACAACAAGCCCCCAAAAGACAACAAAATAGAATTCAAACCCTTCAAAGCAATTACATTTTTAACATCAGAAGTTGAACAAGTACATTTAGAAATTCATCTCTGTTTATAGCTGAAGTTTGTTTATTCAACCAATATTTATTGAGCATCTATTAGACAGGAGACACAACTGTATAGGATAAAGTCTTTGCTTTCAAGGAGGTCAAATCAGTGAGGGAAATAAATGTAACTATAATGGAGTGTGTTTAAGTGCTCTATTTGAGGGGCAAGCAAAGGGCATGAGGCCCCTAGTTCTGCTTGGGGGTATCGGGAGGGGCTTCACAGAGGAAGTAATATTTGAGCTAGGTCTCGGGAAGAAGAGAAGTGTGTTCCTGGCAAAAAGACCCACCTGACGAATGACTTGGGGAAAACTAGGAGATGTTCAGAATGGCCATTTACCAGTAGGTTATACCTTGATTCTGGGCCACTAAGGACAAGTAGTAAATGAAAATTAGTATTTCAGGAAAGGGATAGACGGGATTTTAAATTTGTAGAATAGATAAGCAAGATTAATACTGTTAAAAGCAACAGGGAAATATACACAAG